CATCCCAGGGGATGATGAAGCACACATTTACCTCATCGTCAGTTGGGCAATTAGTTGATTGATGATTTCGAACTTATGCGAACTCACGAAAGCCTAGGAGGGAAAAGTGCGAAAAACGTGAATTTTGTAAGGCTGCCATTTCACCTTACGGTTGTAACGTTGCTATTATACTTAGCGCAATACTCCTAGGAGATGAGGCTTCTGAAGTGCACAAAGTAAGAGTGAAGGTCTCAAAACCTAATCACTCTTTTCCTTTCAGTTTTTATCCACTGACAGAAGATCGAGCGATTTCGTTCGACGTTTTATGAACATAAGTCCATTCAATTTCGGTAATGTGGATCATCCCCGTCGTGTTTTTCTCAGTTTGTAGATTTAAGTAACAGGATGTGTGTTTGATTAGTTTTTATGCAACTGATTAAATGTTGGTATAGATATCCAGAAGTGTCAGAGTAGCGCATGCACTGAATCCCTTAGTTATGAAAGTTTAACACTGGTTTGCTCGAAATCCTCAAAGATCTGTATGATGTCGTTCCATATTTAGACGGCAAACATTAAAAAAAACGCCAACTGTGCAAACAAAAGATTCGGCGATTCACACTTTCCTCTTTTAACTGAAGCATATATCCGTCTGCCGTCATGCGAATTTTTCCAAGAAACAGATATAATTACTGTGAACTTCTTGGCCGGATTTAAGTTGTTGCGTATTCTGTGGCTTGCTGCGACAATATTTAGGTGATAGAGATTTCAGCTACTGAGAATCACGCTCAAATAGCTGATACGCCATTACCTCATGTACCACTGAGCGTATTATGCAGTGTGACCTTATTTAAGGCCGTTACCAGGTCCGTTAACCAGACTAGGCTCATTCCGATCCACCACTTTGAGAATAGTTGTTGGTTGTTGATAATGTGGCTGTTGATCTGTTCGCCAAGCTTGGCTACTGGCTTGCAAACGTTCAGTCACAGTACGAGGAGACATCTTCAGTGCGCAGTTGGGTGGGTAATTCTTCCTTGCCTGCGTGCGTTTAAATAGCATTCGAAGGCTAGCTGTTATCTTCTGACGTGATTGACTACTTGTAGTGTAACGCAGTTAGTGAATCTATCGGTCCGTTCGTGATTTTGTTGCGCTGGTTGCTGGTTGGTTATCCCAAAGCCTTCTATTTTTAGTAGCTTGTTCTCTCTGGCCTGGATTCGAGTTTGATTGGTTGCTTGTACCGCCCTATTTCCTCCACCATGGCGGTGGGTATCCCTGCATCCGCCGGTTAATTTAATTCTCTGGTTGGGTGCCTCCTTTAATTCAACTGATGTATCCGTTTGAATCGCTATCGAGCGACTTTTTACTTAGACGTCCAGCTCTAGTTAGTTTCTGTAAAACCACGTAGACTTGTTCTGATCTAATTGTGATCTCAGTCGGTCACCAATTAAGCGCAGACAAACCTATTGTGCCCATGACTTCCTCAGTCTCTGTCTCTGGAGTAGCTATAGTCGAATAAACAACAATCAGAAAAGTTGGCTCAAAACCCCCGTAAATGTACACTGTTGAAATTTATGACGAATGGAGATCACAACATCAGGCAGACTGGTTTCAATACTACTCATCTTCCGCAACAGTGCCATGAGTTTGGTATTGTTCCGTTCCTGTGAGAAGTTGCCCATTGCTCTTGCTGCGCACTGTTTCGATTTTGACATAAAAAATTGTCAGACCAAATAAATAAGTTGCTAAATTGACCGAATATTAAGGCAGAGAACCAGTCTTACAACTAACCATTTTGATCACTGCTGCGTGTCAGTCTGACGTTCTTCTTCGTTGTTTAGTATGGATTCGTTTTCTAGTTGGGTCCGCATTTTATGGCCTGGATTCTCCCGGATGTCATTCATAGATTTTGTTGGTCAGCGTGCGTTAAAGGGTGTAAGGACAATTGGATTTGGAGTGGGGGCAGGGTCGAATCAAGTGAATCTTACCGGGCTTGGGTTTCGGACTTTTAGACTCAGACCTTGCCACTGATAACCGCACACCACCTCGTTACATCTCGGCTGATCTGAAACCGCTCTCCACATGGTTACTAGTTCTAAGCCCTTTATTCCATTCACGCTGGGAGGCTTGGTAATTTTCACTGCCTCGGCCACCAATCACTGTGGTGTGAATCTTAGTCCTCGTCCCAAAAGTTCAACATTTTCTAAATCCTGTGCCTAGTATCCGGCGCCTACCCTGCCATTGCTGAGACTAACGCCTGGTACTAATCTTTCCTGGGTGGTCTGTTAATGCATCACTTAGGCTCACCAATTCTGGTTTGCGACTCCCTTGAAGTTTGGCCCATATAAACGTTTGTGCAGTCGATAGATTTCATTTTGTATACGCAGCCCCTAAGCAGCTGGAAGGCGATTCTACGGCTGTACCAATACTCTGAAATGCTATTTTAGTGTTGGAGGCAAACATCACCTTCCTGATGACTTCAGATATCCCTGTTTTGTATGGGATGGCTGCTGTTTCGATCCGCTCCTTTTTGGGTTTTGATGTTGGGGTAATTGGCATCTTTGTCGCCGCTTAATTACCTCCCTAGACATTCTCTATCTTAACTTTTCTATTTAACTTATGTTGTGCTGCTTTTCAGTAGACCTCTATGTACAGCACTCTGCTAAATATTGCTTAAACTATACTAGAATACGCTGTCTTCAGGTATGTTGATGAGTTGTTCGAGACCATGCCACTGTCTGTCAACTTTCGTTAAGCTGTCTCTTCTGTTTCCTACCACTCCTGAGTATTTAGCAGTTTAAAAAATGTAGCATACCCAATGTGTACTGTAGCTCCATGTGAAACTTTGTGGAAGTTCAAAGTGCTATAATGTTGAAAGAATTAGTCTCAAAGAATTGTCGCAATTTATCATAACGAACATGTCATCTAAGCAAAGCCAGGAAACCTTTGGTGGATACTGGTATCCGGCCAAAGCTTTCTGTTCAAAGTTTATCACGTACATGTTGGTCGAAATCGGTGGTACTGAGGATCCCACCGCTACACCGTTTTATTAATAGTATGCAACTAAATCGAAAACAAAGTATCTGATGCATAAGCATAATTTGATGTATCCAGCTATCTGGCCTTCAGAGAGTTGCGTTTGATCTTGCAGCTTTTTGTCCACCATTAACAACCACTTTGGTAATTCCAGAGCATCCGGCTAAATACATGCACATGTATCGAGTTGACGTCAAAACTGACGAGGAATTCGTCTAGCTCTGACGGAAACCGAGCTAATTTTGGACGTTATCGGATGACTTCCCCGTGGGTGGTTTAAGGACACCTGTCAGAAATCTAATTAGCTTATGTGAGGGTGAAAACGTACCACCCACAAATGCTTTTATGGAGACAACTTTCTTGTGAATTTTAGGTAGCCCGTCAAGTTCACCCCGACCGCACTTTTTGGGTAGAATCTATACCTAGGTTTTGTGTTCAAACGAAGCTGTGCTCAGTAATAAATCCACCGACTGTCTGCCAAGCCTCTCTGAAACGATGGCTATTCATTCGGTCCCAAACATTTTTCAAATAAATGAAAACACCTACGAAAAAACCCGACTAGATGATTGTCGTTTCCAGCACGCCAGCGTTGGTAGCGTAAAGTTTTAATGTCTAACGGCTATAGTATCCATCAAATTCATAAAGATGTTAGGACGAGCATTGATCCTTTCTAAGTATGCTAACGCACGATATCCACCGACGGCAGAGCGGCAGAACTGCGGTGGCACCGAACGGGCTTAGAGTTAAGGTAATCAGTAAGAAACTGGCATTTTCTGACCTTACTAGACAGCCTGGTATTTTTGGGAACCTGAATACATTTCGGTGTTGCAGATTCCGTTTCAGTCATCTGGTCAGACAGATGGGCAGCAGCCATTAATTTCCCAGCTTAGCTTACGTCCATATGAAGCTGGGGTAAGTCCAAGTGCAGAAGCATCCGAGGTGTACGTGTCAAGGGTGATTTTGTAACCAGCACGGGCCGTGTCAGCTTGGACTGGGTTAGAACATTTCATCTTCTTGTCAAAGAGTTATCGGTAGCAGTGAGAATATCAGTATAGTTGCTAACCCATCATTGATATACATAGTTACGATACAATCAAGCTATTTTTATTCGAACGGAACATGTTGAAATCCTACGTGAGTGTTTAGAAATTATTGGAAATCACAGAACAGTTAAACGAATCTGGAGTCATCAATCAGTTGGAAAATAATTGGGACCAATTGGGTACTCATCGTTTCAGAGAGGTTTGGTAAACAGTAAATCTACCGATTGTTCGCTGAATCTCTCTGAAACGAGAACTTGCAGTCTCTTCTCAAGCAGATGATGCAGGCGGCTATGAAGAACCCGCTTGTTTAGATCGTCGGGGTCCTTACCGAGCTATGTTGATTGCCGTGCCGCCTACTGGATACTGTCGGACCCACTGATCCGTTTTACATGCCGTGCCAGATACCCTATCTCATACAGGGTGTCAGATTGCCGGACTGACCAGATCGATTACTCTCTCGCAGCTGCTTTCACTGTAGCACACTGCATTTGTGATCGCCCATACACACATCAGGATTGACTAGCACTCGTGATTCCGACAGCAGTCACGTGTGTGTGTGAGTCGGACATTCACTGAGCTCACACGCTCATGCACAAGTCTGCTGTTTATCTCACTGAAAACAGGTGCAGATAACGTAAGAGATAAATCATATTTCTCGTCCGCACTGCAGCCGTTTCTTCGTGTAAGGAGAAGCTTCTAAATTCGAAGCAAATCTGCCCAGCCAAGATGACGTCAATATGTAGTGGACTATTTGGAGGGCAACAAAATGACAACCAACCCATAGATCACTTTATAGTAGCATCAGTTCAATTTTGCAGTTTCAGGTTAAACTTGCGCTATTCGTTGGGGGCTCTTGCTTTTTCTTTTTCTGGAAAGCTCAGCAATTAGATTCCCTTATGAGTTGCAGGACAGGATTAAGTTGACTATTCTATTCAGTCCCAAGGAATTTCAACTTCTGTGACCGCCTCCTTGTGCTGAGATCCGGAACGATAGGCTGAGTTCGGCTGTGTGACTTTTGTCGATTGGAGGCATGGCAATCAACAACTTGACCATGGATTTGATCAGCTTTGAGTCAGCTGCCGTGGTACGGAGTTTTTGAGCACGTCGCCCTTTACTCACTGTCAATTCTACCGACATACTCATAAGGGAGCTGCAACCAAACTGATAAATAAAGTGAGTCATATATGCACATGAAGCCAACATTTTATAAGTGGCAGTGGCATAATCCGTGTAAATGATTCCGCATATAATTGTCTTGCATTGTATGTCCACGGCAGAGATACATCTAGCATCCATTTGACTAGGCTGGAAGTCTGATCATCAGTGTAAGAAACCTCACTGTAAAATTTCTCGATAATATGAGTGGTACCTCACGTGCCACACGTAACGAGGTATTCATTGATGAAGCGGTTAGGCCATTTGATTGACTGCCGTAGATACTTCAATAGTTCGGTTTCCTCCACGTGTGAATTCGGGGTGCCCTTCAGTTTAACTCTGTAGACAAAGTCATCAACGCGCGAGTTTGTACAGTAACGAACGCAAAATCGTAAAGTTTCGATATTATTACGTCCACTTTGGTTTCCATTATGCACAGCGAAGTATAGTATCTTTCGAGATCAAAATGCCTGAAAGGTTGTTGCTGTTGCGTTCAACTATATCGGTGAATAAGGTGCTTTCATGGGGGGTGTTGAAGACAGAGGGCAGGTGTCTGTCTCATTGCTTGTGACAAGTAAAGGATCCAAACATGTTTTATGCAACGATGGCTGTGTTATGCCAACGACGGTACTAAGAACATCAGACAGGGATAGTCCCAAAGGGCTCACCATCGCGACACCCTCAATATGCTTATAGCTGAGCCCCTGACCACATAATAAAATGAAGCCTTTTAGAATCGGGAAGGTATGTTTGACTAGAGCCGGAAGGGAAACCATTTAACTGCCGAAAAATTCACAGTTCCAATAGGGGACACGTTGATGAGGCATTGCCTCACACTAAGTGAATCCATGATTTTCAGGGATATCGACTTGCCCTAGGTAGGAGAGAAGTCCATAGAAGCTTTCAGTGTTTGTGAGTAGTATTCTGGCTGTAGAGCTATTTGACAACATGATGAGTTATTCATAGCTAAAATTGGTCGAATTGGTGCATTCTGTTCACATGTCTTCGGAGGTTCGTAAGGCTACGTTTTACCCGTACGACTTCATAAAGGAATCAGTAATTCAAAGATAATTCGTTTACTTAGCAACGGCGCGAACTCCGGTTGTTTGTGGGATAAAAATAGGAAATTACCGTTAAAAATTGCCAGTATTTGGGGGCTGTAATCCATTTTCAGTATCGTATTTATTTCATCTTTTCATTTTGACGAACTTCACTGGATACCGCGTGCAAGGACCAAAACCCAATCTACCTGAGAGCTTCATCGCCTCTCACACTATACAGCTGATGGTGAGTCTCTTTATCCGACGTTATTCTCAGTACATTCCATTTACGCGTAACACACTAAGTAGCCTCGAAAAATAAAGGGGATTTAGAGGCCTAGCGCAAAAGGAATACGCAGAAAAGGATTCTTAATGAAACGAGCACTAACGTGCTCATGATATTGCCTTACAAAACGTTTTCTTGTTACCGATACATGGGGCAGCATGATAAATTGGGATATCAAGGTGGTGCTATGCGAGGTTGTTTGTCCTATTCCGGTTTTATCTTAATCACGACAGATACGCTTGCAAATGGACCGCTTTGCTTGGCTTTTCATTTTTTTCGTTTTGTAGAACCCCCATGCATCATCCAACATTGGCTTTCTTTAAAAGACTCGTGGCAAATGATATGCGCCCAGGCCATACAGTTGGCCAGTAGGGTGTTTCTCAGTCGGTAATAGGCCTACGTTTCTTTTGATTATCACTTGTATAGGCGCCTGATGTAGACATCTGGAAACTAGGATCCGGTTAACTATTCCCCCTGCTATCGCAATTAAAGTAACAAATAAGCAGCTGGTTCCCCCTAATGCTCGCGAGCGCAATCATGGCGTTTATTTAGGAATCAATCATGTGAACGTTTTGGGTAAATATGAAAATCGTTTCAATGTAAATTGACTCAACTAGCCAAACAATTTCCAGTCTTTATTTCTGATTGTGTCACAACATTATGTTTCCTGTCTTCTTTCAGACTGCTTGAACCAGTGGCTCGAAACAAGTTCGCGCAGAAACACTCACCTGCACTTATTCAGCACAGTCTGCCACGAAATTCCGTTGCATGTTGCCCAAGGTATCAAAGTAAGTAGAGTGAATCAAAGTTTCTTATTGCTGCGATATCCGAAGGCGCAACTTAGTTACCTCACTGGAGAAAATATCAGCATTTTTATTGGCAGCTAACTGTTCCGAATTACGTACTAACACGGGTGGTTTCTGTTTGTCTTTGTGGTTAGAAGACATTCTTCGTTCACTGAAAAAGATGTCCTTGGCCTACGTTGCCGACCAATTGCGCTGACTGATATTAGTCAACAAAAATATGGCCTTAGGTAAAAGAAATTTCGTGTAAATGAATTGAAACAATAAATTCTTTGGCTTATCAGCCATACAGAGCGTTTTTCGACTTTCGGTTGTAGTGATCAATCCTACACCTAAGAGTTGCACCAGTAAAATCTGGACAGAGGGTTTGATTGCTTGGTGACTATCGCCTCTGGATTACCGGTTTTTGTTCTCACAAAAAAGTCCGGCCAACAAACACGCGTTCAAAGCCACTTATTTTGTGGTTCCACACCGCCTCGTTTACTATCATCGTTGATGATGACTTTTTAAGCTTAAAAATGAAAGTTATTGCCACATTTATCGACGCTCGCTTACGATATTATAGTCCACTCATTGGTTAATTTTTGTGGTTAAATGAACAAACGTTTTCATGCTCTTACGCTAAACTGTAATAAACAACAAATCGCTTCCACTACATTTTGATCAATCAACAACGACACAACTTGCCCGCACAAAAGTTCATCACAAAACTACCAGCTTACCTTAGACTTAAGGACCCGACTCGGCTGGTTTCATTGAGAATCCTAAGATTCGCTTAACCTGCTGCTTTTCTGTGGCTTTCATAAAATTTTTTAGAATAGATGGTGTGGAACCGTTTGAACATAGAGTTATCCAGTCATGCTTTATCACAGGTTGATAGCAAACCCTTGCCAGTGTCTATCGTGAGCAAGTTTAGGATACCTTTACGACTGAAATGTCTGCAAAATTTACGTAGCAATATTACTTGCAGTGTTTGTGATAAGTAAACCCTTAAGTCGTTTTCCCTCAAAATTCAACCAAACTTTTGTTAATTACCTACCTGTAGGAGGTCTGTAATTTTCTTAGTACACTTTGCACAGACCTTTAGTCAGAGCGCCCCATTATTCGGTCAAAGCATAAACTTAGAGTACACAACTAGTAGTTTACTACCATGGACTTTACTTCAACCTTCAATATGAGCGTCAGCCGATGGACACAACCACATTTTACGTTTACCGCCCCTTCGAATCCATGAAGTACACGGCATCAATGATGGGTTATTTCGGCGACAGCAGAATCACCATAAGACAGTACGACACTGTCCGTTTCGATAGATAGTTAATCTTGAAGATGGAAGAACGTAGATGACATCTTCATTTTACGACAAAACTGCGCTGAAGCATTTCCGCGGAGCAAATGAGACCCGAAAATGTGATTGATATGGAAGAAAAAATGAGATTCTGTGCCAGCAGTTTTATTCCTGCCCACCATGATGACAAGACGAGGAAACATTTCCCTTTTTGATAAATACCAGAGTCGCGGTAGTTCACTGTTTATCTGACTGTTAGTGGCGTGACAAGCGGATGCAATTGTAAGCTGACGGGAACTTAGGGATCTGCCGATTCAGTGACAGCTAAAAGTGTTCACCGACTTTTGACTGAATGCGCTTGTTCTTGTTTAACCACTTAACCGGTAATTGGTTCATCAACAGGATGCTGTTAATTAGCTTCACAAAAGTTTGCTTTTCCACAACTGATTGCAGGTGAATTGTAAATCATGGATGATACTGAGAGTGAATTTTTGTGAAAGTGCTTTCCTGTCGTTTTTGAGTGAATGGCTGCCTGACTTTTATCTGACAACTCCAGGCATGGAATAAGAGATACTGGTTATTTTTCTGTGGAGAGTAGTGTAGTAGGTTGACATAAATTTATAAAACCACATTCCAAGTGCTATACAAAGATGGATAACTTGAGTTCAATTTAACTTCAAGTGGTACGTTATTCCGACACCAAAATCTGTCCTAACAGCCCAACAATTCCCTCCTTCTCGAATAAGTAAGACAAAATTATGCTCCATTCTACTCCCACAGCATAGTTTAGCATTAGTTTAGAATAATATCGCTCCAAATCAGTAGCTAGTACTCTCAACGTGACGAAGTTTCCCTAAACCAAGATGCTTAGTTGGGAAAATGAATCGGTAGACTTTTTTGCTTTGAGAGCCCATATGCTCGAATAACATTAGGTGTAAGTGAGGGATAGCCCTGTGACACAAGTGAGTGATAATTTCATACTGTTTGATTTTCAGAAATGTAATCAATGCTTCAACCATTGTTTTCTGGAATAGACAGTCTAATAATCTATATTCGATATTTTATGATACTCTCTCAATTTAGGTCAAACCAAGATTGGTGAATATGACTCGGTTGCTCTTAAAGTCAGCGAAATACTCCAGCGAAAAAAGTTACCTCTCGTACGTCTTGTGTTGATTTCGCGCGTCGTTCGATGGTCGTTTTTGATGGTTCGCACGTTCAAATTCCTCAATCCCTCCTGCTTCATTCAAACCTAGCTCAATTTTATCGACTAATATAATCGAAGATTCTTTCCTTGCAAGCAGAAATTTTTATTTCGAGTTATATTTCCTATCACTGGAACCATATAGCTTGGATTAAAAAAATATTCGATGGATTATATTTCAGAATAATTTGACATGCATGCAAGATGTCATCCTTCCCGGTTTCGACTGGCAGACACAGCAGCTAACTGAGTAAAGACGATAATACAAATGACGACCATCACTTTCGACCTCCAAAATACACTGTCAACTAAAGTAACGTCACGTTTCCGCATTGCGTACTAATAACATCAGACTCCGTAGGAATAGTAATGTC